TGAGTGCTGAGATTACAGGAATGTGCCACCACGCTTGGCAGCCAGTTCAGTTTCTTTAGCCAGGTGGTCTTTGGGGATCACCTTCTAGCTAGACTAAGAAGTTACTTTTATAGTCTATGTGAGAAGTTAAATATTGAAATGTTCTTAATTTTATGTTTTACTTTGTGTAGGAGTGTTTAATTTGTTCTGAGTCTTAGGTTCTTATCCTGTAACGCTGAGACTTTGTGTTGTATTTCAGTAAGTGATGCCATTCTGATAAGAGCAGCGCCATTTCCAGATACCCTCAGATTGTTCATCTTTCATGTTTCTTGGACAAGTTGGAGACATTACTCCACCCTTTTAGGCAGGTCCCTCAACAGCAGAGCTAGCTCTATGGAAGATGGTTCTATCTTTCTCTACTTTGGAACATAATTTTCTTAGGTATGCTTATTGCTGGCAGAGCTGTATAGGCTTTTCCTGAGTCTTGGAATGCCTGGTTAGTATGGAGTGGTAAAGACACAGGGCAGATTGCAGTTCTCCCTGCTATCCTGACAGGCGTCAGCCGTGGTAAACATCGCACCCGTGTTTCAGATTGTACCCTACAGTCAGTCCTTAGATCAGCTTCTTAGTCTCTGCTGAAACTGAAGGGCTGCAGTGCCTATCTGACTGTCTCCCTAGTTCACCTCCCTCGTTCTCACACTGACTGGAAGCAGTGGCCTTTCTGTGGCCTATACCCTCAGCGGTTTTTGGTGGCACCTACATGTTTTCCTTAGTTTGTCTAGGAGATAAGCTTTTGGAAGGTTCTTTGGTTTCCTAGTGGTACTAAGGATTGAACCCAGGGCTTCAGCACTTCGTTGCATCCCCAGCCCATTTAATTTTTAATTTTGGGACACGGTCTTGCTAAGTTGCCAGAGTGACACTCAGACTTGCAGTCCCGCTGCTTCAGTCTCCCAGTGCTGGGATTGCAGGCATGCGTCGGCACACCCAGCTCTTAGATGGCTTTATATACCCAGCATCTGTTGGAATTCACTGAGCTCTCATGCCTTTTCCAGATACTCTGCCTTAGAGTAGACTCCCCTCTCGCCAGTCCCCAGTGCTTTATCTTCGGAGTCTCTGGATTATTGAGGCAAACACTGATCAATCACAGGTGTTCTACTGTTATTTGGCCATTCTTAAGTATGCACAAGAAGGGTTCTATAATAAGTTTCCAGATGTTAAAATTTGGGACAGTAGCACACTTATGCTTTTTCTTCCCTGGATCTTCCCTTGGAAGTTATAACCAGTAGACTGATTTTCTAAGTCCAGGGCCGTGTGCTAGTTTGGGGAGTACGGATAGTGGTATGACATGAATACCTGACACGGCAGCTGCACCCTTCACCTTTCTGTTCACAGTTTTCCCTGGCAGCCTGGAAGCCTGTCTTTTCCACGTGTTCTTATCACACCATCCCTTGCTCAACATGGCTTCCTGCAAGCAGACTGGCAGCAAAAACTCAGCGTGATGCTCCTCCCTGTAGAATAATTCTCACCCCTTCCTTTGTACTTGAAATGCTGCCTCCTGCTATATTGGCCTTAAATCTACCAGCTGCTAACTCTCAGGTTCCTTTCTTGTATTTTGAAACATACTTGTTGAATTTTTCATCCATAACTCAGTCTCTGTCTTTGCTTTGAGTTCTGTGTGGGTGTGTTTTTAGACTTGGTGCTGAGCTCTCAGTTTTCCTGGGCAGTGACTTTTGGTACCAGCAGGGCTTCCTTATGTGTGATGCATCACCTGTCACATAGGGATTTTGACGTTTCTCTTCTTGCACTATTTTTTCTATTATAAGAACAATTAAACAAAGAACAATTAAATTGTTCACATTTTTTCTTTTTTTATGGTTTTATATTAAAGAGTTTTACATTTCTCTCTCCTTTCCCTCACATATACGTCATAATGGAGTGTGAAAGACAAATGTCACATGCCCAGGGGGACCTGAGGTACTTGGTTGGTGGGGATATTATTGATATCAAGAAGGGAGCTACTTCAGCGATGCAGTGGCAAGCTTGAGGTCCTGAGTTCGATTCCTGGTACCCCCCAAAAAAACAAAAGAAGGAAACTGTTTCATTTTTTGTATTAAATGTGGATTTTAGGCCTTTGCTAATTTTTTTGGGGGTGGGGGCAGAGTTGTTTTATGCAGTTCAGGCTGGCCTTGATCTCACTATGTAGCCCAGGCTGGCCTGGCTATAGGCCTTTTCTATTAATTAGCAGCCACAAGCCACGTGAGTCTTGTTTTTTTGTTCTGTTTTTGTTTTGAGACTTAGTCTTGACATATTGCACAGGCTGTCCCTGAACTCCTGGACTCAAGTGATCTTCCTGCCTCAACCTCCTGAGTAGCTGGGACTATGGGCATGTGCCAGTCAGTGTACCTGGTTGACATAAATCTTTTGAATATACAAATGTGGCAAGTCCGCTGTAGGTATGAAGTGCACAGAGGATTTGAAAGACATAGTATGAGAAAAAGAGATTGTAAGATACTGTTAATTTTATATTGATTACATTTTCTTTCTTTCCTTTTTTTTTTTCTTTTTTGGGTGCCAGGAATTGAACTCAGGACCTTGTGCTTGCCAGGCAGGCGCTTATGCCACTGAGCTATATCCCCGGCCCTATTGATTACATTTTAAAATGATATTTTTGATATATTGGCTTAAGTATTGCTACATTTATTTCACCTGCTTTTTTTAACAGCCTAAAATATATCTAATTCCATTTTTTATATGCTAGTAATGAACATTTGGACCCTGAAATTTTTTTTTAAAGAATCTATTATTAATAGCACCAAAAATAATGAAATACTTCAGGATAAATAATGTACAAGATTTATAGGCTAAAAACTGCAAAATGTTGGTAAGAGAAGTCAAAAAAGATCAGTGAGATAGACTGTGTTCATGGCTTGGAAGACTCAGGATTTTCAAGCTGCCAGTTCTCCCTTATTGATCTCCAGAGTCAATGTAATCCCAATCAAAACACCAACACATTTCTTTGGGGAAAATTGATAAACTGATCCTAATGTTTATGTAGAAAACCAAATGACCTAATTGGCCAAAATCACACTGACAAAGAAAAACAAACTTACAGGACTCATACTGTCTGATTTCAAGATGTAGGGTAGAACTATAATAATCAATAGTGTAGTATTGATGTAGGGATAGACACATGGATCAGAACAACAGAACCAGAATCTGGAAATACACTTAAACGTACATCTGTTGATTTTTTTTTTTTTTTTTTGTGAATGTTAAGACAGTTCAATGGAGAAAGACACTATTTTTCAAGCAAGGCTTTGTTTTATATGCAAAAATCAAAGACCCTCAGTTTATACCATATACAAAAATGAATTTACAGTGGATCATATACCTAAATGTAAGGGCTAAAATTACAAAACTTCTAGAAAACAGGGTAACGGGGCTGGGGATTTAGCTCAGCGGCACAGCACCTGCCTGGCCAGCTTAAGGTTGTGAGTTCAATTCCCAGTACCGGAAAAAAACCAAAAAAACAAAACAAACAACAGCAACAAAACAAAGAAAACAGGGTAACATCTGGATACTTTGGGTTAGGTAAGTATTTCTTTTTTTGTCTTTTTGAGACAGGGTATTGCTATGCAGTTCAGGTTGGCCTTGAGCTCACTTTGTAGCCCAGGCTGGTCTTGAACTCACAACGATCCTCCTGCCTCAGCCTCCTGAGTGCTGGGATTACAGGTGTGCGCCACCACGCCCGGCGAATTTCTTACGACACAAAAAAATGAGTTGTAGAAGAAAAATGATAAAATGAACTTCCTCAAAATTTGAAACTTGTGCTCTTTGAAAGATACTTATGAAAGTAAACAGTCAAGCCATAGACGGGAAAAAGATACCTGCAAAACACATATCTGATGAAAGATTAGTACTAAAAATATAGAAAGAACTTTTAAAAATAAATAAATTCAAAAATAAAAATAAATAAAAATTCAAGAATGAAAGATTCCCAAAACAATAAAAAGTTAGCAAGAGATCTGATCAGACACTTCCCCAGAGAGAATACATAAGTAATAAATAACATGAGAAGTTGCTCAACAACATTTACAACTAGGTAAAAACATGAAAGCCATACGGCAGGGTGCAGTGCTGTACATGTAGCCCCAGCCGTTTTATTTCTGGTGGACAGCGCACTTCTCAAAAGTATAGTGATGTCAACAAATGCAGTTATCTAACTTGAGTCTCACAGCTGTTAAATACCACTCCATGGAGGTCGTAATTGACCAGTTGGCTCTAGTTTCATTGGCCTGCTTTGTAAAAGGGGCTCCAGGGTCAGGAAACCCTCTACTATGGCTGTCACCATCAGGTGCTCGGGGGTAAGGTGGTTATTTGGTGCTTCACTTGCAAAATCACAGCATTCAGCATCACTTACTAGTTTCCTGTTCTTTTTTTTTTTATTTTAAAAATAAAAGGAGGAAAACATTAACAGACAACATTTTATAACATAGCAAAAGAACAGTACAGACAATACGGAGTTACAAATAAAGTGGTAGGGAATTAACAATGGTTGTTGTATTACATGTTGATATCTTCAAAGTGGCTTCTCATGAAAACAGATATAGAAATGCAATACTAATCAACCAAAGACTCATTGACAGTTTCTTTCAGCATAGAAATAGAA